TGGCGCAGTAGGTAATGCTGTCGCCTTACAGCAAGAAGGCCGCTGGTTTGAGCCTCAGCTCAGTTGGCGTTTCTGTGTGGAGTTTGCATGTTCTCCCTGCGTTCACGTGAGTGTCCTCTGAGTGCTCCAGTTTCCCCCACAGTTTAAACACATGCGCTACAGGTGAATTGGGTAATCTAAATTGTCCGTAGTGTATGAGTGTGTGTGTGTGAATGTGTGTGTGATGTTTCCCAGAGAAGGGTTGCGGCAGGAAGGGTATCCGCTGTGTAAACTTGCTGGATAAGTTGGCGGTTCATTCCGCTGTGGCGACCCCGGATTAATAAAGGGACTAAGCCGACAAGAAAATGAATGAATGAATGAATGACAGTAAATAATATTAGACTAGATATTCTTCAATACAGCTTAAAGTGACATTTAAAGGCTTAACTAGGTTAATTAGGTTAATTAGGCAGGTTAGGGTAATTAGGCAAGTTATTGTATAATGATGGTTTGTTCTGTAGACTATCGAGAAAATATATATAGCTTGAAGGGGATAATATTATTGAACTTAAAATGGCTTATAAAAAATTAATAACTGCTTTCATTCTAGCCGAAATAAAACAAATAAGACTTTCTCCAGAAGAAAAAATATTATCAGACATACTGTGAAAATTTCCTTGCTCTGTTAATCATCATTTGTCAAATATTTAAAAAAAGGAAAAAAATCAAAGGGGGGCTAATAATTCTGCCTTTAGTTGTATGTAATTTGTTTACTTGCAAGATACTACTTTTCAGCGTAAAGAGCTATTTAAAGGCTTAACTAGGGTAATTAGGCAAGTCATTAGTTAAAAGGGGTTTGTTCAGTAGCCAATCAAAAACAATCTTAATTTCGACTTAATTTAAATGTAAAAAACGCTTTTATTCCAGCCTAAAATAAATATTAAGAAAAAATGTAATACTAAATACTGTGAAAATGTCATTTGCACCTTATATCAATATACAATGCAATACTTTCTCCAAATGCACTTGTACACAGCACTTTATAACCTGTATATGTATAACAAAACTGTACATACAACTCAGCGTCCAGATCTTTTTGACTAACGGCATTTCTGTTTAACGTTTATCATATTTATTTGTGTTATCACTTGTCTCTTTATGTACACTGGAAGCTTATGAAGCCAAAACAAATTCCTTATGTGTGTGAAGCACATTTGCCAATAAAACTGATTCTGATTATTATTTTTAAAATAGTTATAATCTCATATGAAAAATACTACATTCATTTCTAGCACATACTAGTGCTTTTGAATCACAGTAAAATGTATTATACTGTATACTTTATAGTATCTACAACACTTTGTTAATCAATACTTCAGCACACTATAGTATTACCTATAGTGAGCTGATAAACTGTAATAAATACTGTAGTATAGTAAAGGCTTTACTGCAGTAACCTGTGGTGTAATTGTAGTATAATATAACCTGTAGCTGTAAAACTACTGTTATGTGTAATTTGTTTATAATACTATTGTTGTTATGTTACCATAGCTACTATAGAATCAACACAACAGATTAATTTGTTTATACTATAGTTTTTGTGTTACCATAGCAACTATAGAATCACCAGAAGAGATTAATTTCTTTGTATTACTATAGTAGTTGTGTTACCGTAGCAACTATAGAATCACCACAACAGATTAAATTGTTTATATTACTATAGTAGTTGTTACCATAGCAACTATAGAATTACCACAGCATATTAATTTGTTTATATTACTATAGTAGTTGTGTTGCCCTAGTAACTAGAATCACCGTAACAGATTAATTTGTTTATATTACTATAGTAGTTGTGTTACCGTAGCAACTATAGAATCACCACAACAGATAAAATTGTTTATATTACTATAGTAGTTGTGTTGCCATAGCAACTATAGAATTACCACAGCATATTAATTTGTTTATATTACTATAGTAGATGTGTTGCCATAGTAACTAGAATCACCGCAACAGATTGAATTGTTTATATTACTATAGTAGTTGTTACCATAGCAACTATAGAATCCACACAGCATAATAATTTTTTATATTACTATAGTAGTTGTGTTGCCATAGTAACTAGTATCACCGCAACAGATTGAATTGTTTATATTACTATAGTAGTTGTGTTACCATAGCAACTGTAGAATCACCACAACAGATTAAATTGTTTATATTTCTCTAGTAGTTGTAACCATAGTAACTAGAATCACCGCAACAGAATAATTTGTTTATATTACTATAGTAATTGTGCTACCTTAGCAACCAGAATCACCGCAGCAGATAATTTTTTTTATATTACTATTGTGTTACCATAGCAACTAAAGAATCACCACAGCATATTAATTTGTTTATATTACTATAGTAGTTGTGTTGCCATAGTAACTAGAATCACCCTGCAGATTAATTTTTTTATATATTACTATAGTAGTAGTGTTACAATAGCAATTATAGAATCACTACAACAGATTAATTTGTTTAT